GCGTGGCAAAGGGAACGCGCAGAGCCAGGGCTGCTGCGGCAGCTGGGGGGAAAAAGCTTCAAAATGCACTTTTACAGACCAGTCCTCAAAGCAGCACTTTGCAAGGGTTACTACTTGGCAAGTAAAGCCTAAGCAAACCAGATTGTGTGGCACAGAGTCCCTCTGAGGGTGGAGGCCAGAGCTGCTATGGCTGTCCCTGCATCCTCAGAGGTACAGTAAAACAAAAGAAAAACCCCAAAGGATATAGTGAACATTCAAAATTCCACTAGCCATTTCCTTTCAAAGCAAGCAACTCTAAGGGAGGAGACAAGGAAACCCAACTGCTTTGTCTAGGTAAGGGAGAGCCTCTGCAGGAGCCCTGAAGGGAAGCAGTGTGTGCATCGCTGGGGGAGCACACAGGACACTTGGGCTTTACACACTGGTTCAGTTGCTCCTCAGCCCTCACGTTCAGACCTACAAACCTCCCTGCAGCTGCTGGAGAGATACATTGCACTCAGAGCTTTCCTTTTCCTCATCTTTTTCTTAAAAAGAATGTTTCCTCCCTTCATTACACAGAGACTTCATAAACAAACGTTTCAGTGCTGTTCCATGGAATGTTGTTTTAAGGCAGAGGAAACTAGGAGAGGCTTTCCCACGGCTCCCTGCTGGCTCCTGCCAGCATCCCAGACTTTCAGTTTCAAAATATTCCCCACGTTAAGAAACCTTTTTTGTCTCGATTTAACTTACAAATATTCAGACATCACAAGAGTCATTTCCTCAGCCAGGGACCCAGGACCTCCTGGATGTGGGGGGTTCCCTCCCTGTGCAGGGAGGAATGACACTGCACCCTCCATTCCCAACTCACCTTTTCAGAGTAATGCTCTGCTGGAAGAGGTGGGTAGTCACATTGCTCTATTTTTTGGCAAAGAGAGAACAGGTTCATTTTGTCTCCATAGAAGGGACTCTGCAGAGCTGCCATCTGGAGAGAAAAACAGAAAACATTTCAGAAACGCAGAGGATTTAACAGCCCTCAGTGAGAGCAAGGGAAGCTGCTGCTCTCCACGGCCCAGGCTGTTCTGCGAGGGCTGTGCCAGGTGCTGCTCCCCGAGGGAAAAACCCAGGAAAAGGATGGTCAGCCCAGCAGTTAGAACCCAACTGGCTCGAAGACAACTCAAACTCTCTCAAACACAATTTTCTCTCTAAACCTTTGGACATTTAGCTACTTAGAACATAAAGAATATTATAAGCAATGTACTTCAGCTTAAAAAAAACCCCAAACAACCTTAAACCAAACATATCTCCTGCCGGAAATGTGCTCTTTAGAAAAGACTATCCCAGGCAGATTTGGGAACCAAACTACTGAAAATGTTCCTCATCGATCTGTTCCTTTTCCTCTTTCACTTCTGTTTTGTGGCCCCAGTATTTGTATCTCCAGAAGTACAACCGCTGGCTGAGGTGAACAGGCTGCTCACACAGCAAGGGGTGGGGGAGAATTCCTTGCAGAGCATGCAGAGACTCCTCACAAAGTTGTGCTTGTGTTGTACTTGAACCTCAGGAAGGAAACTCCATTTCTCTGTGTGCAAACCCATTCATGCTGTGAGTTCTCAACCACGAGGTCTAACTAACCCCTGAACCACGAGGCTCAAACAGCCACAGCACACAACTGTGGCTGAAGCTGTGCCTGCTGAAGGCTCCTGGGAGGAATCCAGAGCCTTCCTGCTCACATTCCCACACAGACCTGAGCCCAGCAGAGCCATCCATGGCCTCTGCTTGGGGTGGCTCATGCCTCCTGCCACGTGCCAGAGAACCCGACGCAGCACAAGGAAGCACCACTGGCTAACTGGGGACATGACCCACTCTGTTCAGATCCTCCCGAGCTGCTGTGAGCACGTTTCACCCCAGGCTGGCCGAGGCTGACACTCTGCTCTGATGGGGCTGTTGGGGGATTACCAGTGCTGCTCGTTTCCCTGCGCGGCGAAGGCGCCGGAGGAACACGCAGTGAGCCCCCAGCACGACTAGAGAGATCCTCCACTCACTCACCCTGCGGTTGGGGCCCGAGATTGATGGATTATTAGTAATCTGGTGACAGACAGGTGGTTTTGATCAGGGCAGAGCTGGAGATGCTGGGCCTGGGCTGTGCTCCCAGCAGCAGGACGTAGCTGGGTGTGGAGGCACTGCAGCCAGGGGGTCCTACCAAAGCCTCCTGACCACTAACGTGTCCAAGTGCTGAGGAATGCAGGACACATCAAGAGGAGCTACCCTTAGGGGTTGATAGCAAACTGCTCCCAATCAGCTAGAGCAAAGCAGAGAGCCCAGCACACAGCACTGTCCCCAGGAAAACACTAATGGGCATTGGGGAAAGCACAGAAGGCAAAACAAGGGTTAACCAGGGTCTCTGAGATCTCAGTGCAAACACCAATAATGCCAGTGAGGCTGAGAGGGATTTTCCAATGCCATTAACTTTTCATTCCTACTTTAGATAAGTGGTGATGTGCCAAAGGGGAGGAAGGAAGCACCTTGGGTTTGGGGATTACAGATCACCCAGGTCTGCAGGGCTGTGAGCACAGGCAGGGCAAGGAGCTCACTCAGCAGAGTGTGATGCTGCACTGGGCTGGCTCTGACGTCCGATTAGAGCGATTACCCCGGGCCAGGCAGATCTCCAGGGAAGCATCCACCACGCAGTGACTGGTGGAGCCCTGTTAGTGCTGATGGCCTCGCCAGGACTGCTGAAGTCATTGCTTGTAGCTATATTCTGGGAATTAACAACTTATTTCTATCCCCTCCAAGTTATCTTGCTGACAGATACCCACGGGAAGTGAGGGATGGAGACAGTTCCTACTCTATTGATAAGATATAATAAAAATCACCATGTGATTACCAATGTCCAAGTTAAGTGCTGCTTTGTGGCATCACGTCCCAAAGCCCTCAATGCTCCCTAAGTGGATTCCAGTGGACACTCGTGTCTCTGAAGGCAATTTGTACATTAAATCTCTGCAGCTTATCTACAAAATCTATCTGGAGATATATTCGAAGTGACTCATTCCCAAACAAGCATCTCTCTCTCACTCCTAACCCACATTTCTCCATACCAGAAATCAGAGCAGATAACACACACAGCTCCTTCAGACACACAAATCTCAGGTTTGCTTTTCCACATTCTAGAAAGTTTAACAAGTCAAGTAGCTGTTTAACTACTGAACACATAATTGGTACCTGTCCAGTCCTCCCTGGAATCTGCAAGCTCTCACAGCTCCTGTTCCCTAAGTTAAGCCTTACCTACGTAGGAAGGAAATGTAAAAACGCCTCACATGCCAAATCTTTCAGCTGTGACTGCAGAGCTGCTACTCCTACCAGAGAGTTGTGCTAGTGCGCGATCGAGTCAGCGCCTCGGAATACAGGGAGTACCAGGACTCCTGTGCCATAAGGGGACCATATTGCCTGCAACAAAAACATCTCTTAGCACCACGCTAAATATTTCTCTCTGCATAAATCTGGAATCTTATCTCCAGGAGCCTCGCCTCGCAGTGACTCAGAGCACCCTGGCACTGCAGCAGCCCCGGGAACCGGTGTCCAGCTGGGGCCACTGCCCCTGACAGACCTGGCACGGCCAGCACAGCTCGGCAGGGCACAGCCTCAGCTCAGGGCCTTCCACTGGGAACTCCTCCACAGGTTACTGGGAGCTCAGACCTCCTCCTCCCTGCACCCACAGAGAGTCACCAAACTCCACCAGTGTCTCTCAGTGCACTCAGGTGGAATTTCACACTCTGCCAGCAGCAGATCAGCACCTCTGGGCTATATGACCCAGGGCAACACACCCAGGGCAGCAGTGACCTCGTGCAGTTAGCTGTGCTAGGTGATGCTCCTTCCAGGAGGACCAAACAGTGACAGGCTCTGAGCTCCCACTGGGAACACCAATGTGTGGGAAAATTGACCACCTTGCCCTAGTGTTTAATCAACCAGCTGAAGGACATGCTTAGCTACAGCAGTTTTCACATCTGGATGTGCTCACAAAAATGAACTACAAAATGTCATCAGTTCATGATTTGTTATCCAAAGAGGATGTGAGCAATATTCTTCTTACTGAATATCCCAGGGATTTTTAATTCTCTGGGCTGGGATAAAAGATGGCTGAATGTTGACATGCTCTCTGCAAAACAAAGTCAGCACTCAGGACCGACTCTGCCCATGCTGCCCCAACACAGTCTGCTCCCAGAGGAAGGAGGGATGCAGTGAGGTGATTGTCCATGGCTTCGTTCTCAGTGTCTGCTGTGAAATCACCTCGGTGCAGGTGCTGTGCTGGGTGCCACAACCCTCTGTCCACACTTGGAAAGCACACGATGAGCACAAAACATCAAACTTTCCTAAGGTTTCTCCACAAGTTAACTGCACTCAGCCTGACCTACTCAATCCCTGCCCCATAGTGTGTGGTTAGGATAGAGCTGGGGAAAAAAAAGTGAGAAGATACTTGCCTCATACAACAAACAGCCCAAAGACCAGATATCAGACTTAAAGTTATAGCCGTTTTCATGTATTCGTTCTGGGGACATATAGTATGGAGTTCCCACTGTGAAAACAAACAGACAGACCAGGGGTTATTGTCTCACCATGTCACTGCAGCCTGTGTCACACATTTGGCACTGCATTCAAGGCTTACACAGGCAGCTCATTAGAACACACTGGCACAAAAATCTGGACACAAACCATGGTGTCAAAGGCATAGAACCAAACACATCATCGCACACAGAGCCAGAGGATGGTGAACCTTATTGAAAATATCTCCTGCATTTCTGACATCTGAGACACATTTCCTTCCCCTTACCATCCCCCTGGATCACCCACAGCCCTGAGGCTGCAGGTTGGATGCCACGACTGTGCTCTGCTGGACACAGCCCCCAGGACAGCACATTGACAGTGTGCCCACCTGGCACAGAGGGCTCTGGTGACCCAGAACACTCTGTCAGCAGGTCAGGAGAGCAGGCACTGCAGCTCCCAGTGCCAGGCAGGCACACACAGGTTTCTGGGGGCACCAGGACAGTCACCCCTGCAGCCATGTCAAAGGCTGGAGAGTGCTCTGTACCTCCACAGCTCTGTGCCTCATCAAAAGAAATTTACTCCAGTATTTTGGACAGAAGTTACAAGAAATTATTAATGAATTCCTTACCTCAAAAAGGTTCTTTTTTAAATCCTAAATAAGTTTCAGTTGTGGTACTGAAGATACAAGACATCCTGGCAGTCTCCAGTACATCAAATACTCCTCAGATACATCATTTATTAAAACATCCAAGGACTGTCTATGCTCTTTTCTCCAGCTTCCCCTGCTTGTCCCCTGTCAATTTTTTTCCCTTTTGGCATTCCAGTGTATCCTTCTCCTAATTAAAGACCTTTCCTCACAAGATGGCAAATGTTTAATTTGCCTGTAACACTCAGTTTACAGTTTCTCCATTTGAAATGCTGACTGCAGACAGCTGGAGGACTAATAAGCAGCTGAAGGATGTGCTGGAGGTGGAGGGGAAGAACAGCCTCCACCTTCCTCAACATTCCTAAGGAGGGATCTGCACACTGGAGGAAAGAGATGAGTTCTGGGGTAGAAAGCAACAGCTCTGAGAGGCAAACCCCGACCCCTGCCACCTGCACAGGTGACCCAGCACAAAGCTGGTCACTCCTTGGTCCCAGGAGGTTCAGCAATCAGCTGCCCTGTATGACAAACTCAGCTCACACTTCCAGGTCATTCAAGCAGGATATTACTTCCCTTTCAAGGTGAAGATTACCCTAATGGGAAGTTACATTTTTGCAAATTCTACGCAAACTACAACACAGGAAAAATAACCCAAGGAGATTATCCTGTTTCCATGCTCAGGAGGAGCAGGTCAGACTGACACAGACCCAGATCTGCCTGTGTTTAATTCCCAGGGAAAGGTCCCTGTGCCTGGAGGAGACCAGAGTTCTGTTAGGAGTTAATAGTTTTGAGCAGAGTCTGTCCCAGGACACCCAGAACAGATAGGACTCATTTGGAGCCCGGTGAGGCTCTCCATGGCTCTCTCCATGTGCATGCAGGATGCACATGATGGACAGCAGAGCTCTCCAAGTCATTCCCACACATCTGCCAGATTCCCGTACAAGAACTGACTTGGCCGGAACAGCACCGATTCATTTTTCTGCTTAAAAATATGCAGCTGCAGCAGAAATGGTGATTCACTCTGCAAAGCTCTTGAAGACAGTTTTGGAAGTCCCCACTGAGCACCACTGTGTAAGACACTTCCCTGCCTG